TATCTGGCTCCCTCGGCCTTCTGCAGGCTGCGCACTGTTACTCCTTGACTGTAGACTGGCTGCGCTCTGAGAGACGCATACACAAGAAGAATGAAAACACCACATTGAATTTCAATAACCCAGACCAGGAAGTCTTTCGTTCATCTTACCTTCCTCCCTTCAGTCCTTTGGATGGACTGCACCTCATTGCCTTCCTTCACTTTCCCCTCTCCTTTTAACTCCCCCTGCTGAGGTACATCTATGCTTGCTGGAACCTCCTCATCACCTGCAAGAGACCTGGGACCAAACACATGAGGAAAGACAAGAACACACAGCGGGGAGAACATGTTAACTATTATCGTTAACATTATTATTAAGGTCAAAGTATTCATGGTAATAGAAGCATTAGCTGTATTAGCAGTGATAAGAGTACTATCAGATATGTACCTGTGGCTGGGTGTGTATTCTCAGGTGAGCCATCCTCGCCAGCAAAGACAGGTGGTCATAACGTGTGTGGAGGATCCGTACGGCGATATCGCTCACAGCCAACTGTTTGGGAAGCTCAAAGGCCAGGCCGGCCTCTTCAAAGTTAAAACCTTTAAACCTGAATGGACCAGTTAGAAGCAAAGACAAATACTACATAAATACTTTTACTACTAAATATAATTGTTCTTTTTACAGTGTTGTGACCTGTAAGTTCCACCTGGCACGCAAAAATTACAGATGCTCTTGTTCTAGGGTTCTTTTGAAACACTTAATCAGTGCAAAGTGTTGCTACCTGTTTTCTATATTTATCATTTTTTATAGAAGTTTTTACACTTGTTTTACTGGTTTTACTTCAAATGTAAGGTATACATGATATAGAAAATATTGGATCCCTTACCCATCATGAGTCACAGCTGCAAACCTCACTCTTTGTTTTATTGTAACATTTAACTCATATAATGTATTTGCAGCCCTTTCTTCCACAAACCTTGGATTCTTCTTGAGGTTAGCCCAGAGACACAGTGTAATGTTCTCATCTTTGACCACAGTCTGCATGTTGCCTGTCTCAGTGTCGATGTTCGCACTGGCCCTCTATGACCAAAAAGATTCACAACACACAAAAAAAATGATTCCAAAAAGCCATCCACAGACAGTGTTTGCACATCTTGCCTTGAGCCTTGCAGAATGCTAAAAAGCAACCCGTGCAGACAAGAATAAATCATTTTTATTATTCACAGCTTTCATGTAGTGCTTGACGATGTGTAAGCACAAGCAGCTATGAGTCTTGTACCTTGAGGATCTCCTCTGTGGTGAGGTGGTGTTTGGAGTGGATTAGCTCCTGCAAATGTATGAGAGCCTCCTGGTACTTCTGGTGCTCTTGTGGATCTGAAACATCTTTGAGCAGACCTTCCAGCCCCTCAATCAGCTAAAAAGGACATAGCATTTATTTGAACACAAATTTTGTAACACTAAAATGCAGCAAATAATTTTCTCACCCAATTTTAAAAGAGATAATTATATTATAAAGATAATTCTAAGAAAACACAATGACTAAATTGGAATTTTCTTGAATGGAAAATGTAAAAAAAAATGCATACTGTCAGGACTGTACAGAACTTTGGATAAAGGTTGGGAGTTGAATTATTATAAAGGAAAGTTTATTTGTAGGATAAGAGAAAATATTAAATCTTAATTATATTAAAATAGTAGACATATCTATGACATCACATTTAAAGAGACAAACACTAATGTGCCACTGACCACAAACAGACTTTGCATCTTCTCTATTTTGTATTGTGCTCATTAGATTGTTGTCCGATGATGGAAACACTGGCAAATGTGTTTTTCCTGCCTTTAATTCTCTCATTGATTAATATTAGTGCTTTAGCTAACAATTATCTTAATTATCAAGTAATTAGCCCAAACTAATAGCCTTAAGTTACTTTCTTTGTCTGATAAACAACCTAACAACCCATAAAATGTTTTATATTCCCTTAGGTAATATAAACAGCAAATATTTTGTGCTTATATCTAATAAATAATTTGTTTACTGATCATAAAGCCAATTTATTCTTTATTTATTAATTGAATGCACATGCAAGGCATATACACATCTACACATAAAATACAGACCTGTAGAGCGAGGTTACATTGCTTGAGCACCGTTGTGATGTTGACCTCTGGGTCATCTCTCCATAGGCTGATATATGTGTTAATATCCTGCTGTACTGCGGGGTCAGGGGTACCATCGCAATTCATGTATCTCTCCCACTGGTCAACAACAACATAATGTGTGTTAATATCAGCCATGGGAAATCTGCTAGTGGAACTTTGAACAAAGGCCTGATCAGGCAAGTGTGACGTTTTTGTTTTGCGTATACTATTTTGTATTATGCAAAGTCTCCCTCTTGCTAAATGACTCACACAGGCAGAAACACACACCTTGGCTTTCTCCACGGCACTGGTTTTCCATTTAGTCGCTGCAGTATGATTCTCCTCCAGTAGATGGCGAAGTTCATTCAGTCATCTTCTCTACGCTCTTGATCCTGTCAGTAAAAGACACCGATGAACGCTGCGAAGCAACATGCCCAAACTCATCTACCGTCTATTTCCATAAAGAGTAGTCAATTTTAGTATTTCCTGTTCTGCTCTTCCATCTGGTGTTGTTTGACACTGAATGTATCAAGAGTCAGGAAATGCACACTCCATAGCTTAATGTGTATCACAGTCATTGCACACAAGGGCATAGACTTTAATAAGGACAGTAGGGACATGTCCCCAACAATATCAAGCAACTACTGAATTGTCCCTAACAACTTTTGATCCAAAAATGAAAATGTAACTACTGATATCCGTCAGTGTCTGGTCCAGTGGTTCTCAAACTGTGGGGTGGTTCTAAGCAGATCTAATATTACATGAATGTGTTCATTCAGCTCTGAGGCAAGCAAGACTAATTTGTGGGGGGCCTTTTTTTGGCGTCTAAAGGGGGGCATGACAGAAGAAGTTTGATAACCACTATTCTAGTCAATGTATTTGGTACACAAACAGTTAAAAGTTCTCATTCTCTACTAGAAGTCCAATGCGTTTCTAAGTTTTGAAAAACTACCATACAGTGATTTTGTTCCACTGCCTACCCTTTTCAGACCCTCAGACTTCATTTAAAAAAAAAAAACTACTAGCAACACATTTTGTGAGTCATTCAAACCATCAGGGGGAAAGTGAGATATATGCAAAAGTCCATTATATTGTAGTAACATGTAACATGTAATCTCATTCACCTCTTTGGCTCTCCTCTCACACTGTGTGTGAGGAGTGAGAGTGAGTTACTATGGTTTCAGGGACGCTCTGCGTCTCTGTTGCTCTGAAACTTTAGACAACACAGAAGGAGAACAACAGAGTCTTTAGTCGTTAGGGACATCTTACCTTTAACTCAAGCCTTTCTAACTCCCTTTCCTTTCGCTCTCTTTCCAATCTGTCCCGCTCCTCCTTCTCGGCTTGCAGCTGTGCTTCTTCTATAAAGCAAAAGCACATATGAAATGTCCTGCAGGCATATCTTTTATCCCCAAACAGATTACTTTTCATCAGTTTCCTGCAGAGTATATTGCCTTATACTAAGCACAAACACTGCATGAATGCCAACAAGTACCTAATTTGTCCCCAATAGTAATAATAGAGACAGATATCTGGATTACCTTCCTCTCGCAACCTCCTCTCCTCCTCTTGCTGCTGCTTTGCCTTCAGAGCCTTCGTCAGCTTCCGTCCCATTTTGCATGACTTGACCAGCAAAACTTTACATATTAGTGTTTAACACGGGTAGCCTCACTACTACAGTAATGCAGTTAGAAAAAGGTACTTTGCTGAGGAGAAGGGGCACATAAAGTGAGCGTATACAGTGATAATTACTGTAGGAGTAAGACGTACACTCTATGCCTGGCTGCATGTATCTTGAACTACATAGCTATGATAACGTTAATCAGGTTAATGTAGAATTATAAATGTGCTGACTGACTTTTGCTCATACCTTTACTTTCTTGGGTGGCTATCATTCACAGGAGAAAACAGAGAGACGGTTAAAGAAGCTTTGAAACACGAATTCAAGGTACAGGGTAGGAAATTGGTAAGAATGTGAAGAAAAGAAAGCATCAAAATTCATGGTGCTTCCTGCTAATTTGAAAAGCTCTCAGTTCAGATCATTGCAGGATCACATGACATGGAAACTATTGAAAAAAAAAAGCATTATGTTCCATAAATTATTAATAAATATTAATATAAAATAAAACAAATACTCAAATCTAAAATAAAGAGGTGTGTCTGATTTACCTAGTGTAGTACTACAATTCGGCATTGGTTTGGAGTCCATGAATCACATGACATGGAAGCTATTGAAAAAAATGAATTTTTTACTTTAATTATTAATAAATATTAATATAAAATAAAACAAGTACTCAAATCTAATATAAAGAGGTGTGTCTGATTTGCCTAGTGTAGTACTACAATTCGGCATTCATTTGGAGTCGGTAGGTCACATGACATGGAAGCTACTGGGGAAAAAAAGCATTATTTTCCATAAATTATTAATAAATATTAATATAAAATAAAAACAAGTACTCAAATGTAATATAACGAGGTGTGTCTGATTTGCCTAGTGTAGTACTACAATTCGGCATTAGTTTGATGTCTTTGGATCACATGACATGGAAGCTATTGAAATAAATGATGATTTTCCCATAACACGGTTTTAATTGTAATTTATTGATGGTCCCTAAACTGACCCCCGGTGGTTAAAAGCGAACTATCGGAGGTGAGCTAACCGCATTTATACTGCCCACACTGGGTGAACGGAGTAAGAAGCCGTCACCGGATCCTGGGTGAATGGCTGTCGAATATCCAACTTAAAGTTAACTTCACCGCGGTATGACAAGGTTTGAGGCCAGACAGGGGCTGTTTATTCGAGAGAGAAAAAAGTAAAACTCACCATGTTGATGCCACAGACTGCGGAAAGGCTCTAACGCGTCCAAGTAACCATAGAAACGCGTACGCATGCGTGGTTATCTGTTGTTATTTGCGACAGAAGAAAACGTCATACGGCAGAACTGTCCACTCACTGCAGCCACAGGAAGGACAAAGAAAAGGAGACGTGTGTTCATTATCGTACTGCTTGAGTAAATCTACTCAAATAAAAAACAAGTGTAAGAATTATTGTACTGTTTAGTATGGCCGTTCGTAGAGTTTCTGATAAACTTAGTATGTGTTCAATGCTAACTAACAAGCTAACCTAGCTGTAGCTAAGTTAGTGGGTTGATTAACTTAGCTGTTGCACCTTTTCTTTCTTTAGGGGTCTGGTTAATTATATTGTTTGACTGTCTTCTGTCTTCATTCACTCCCGCTCTCCGACTGTTTCTGTCTCTGCTGTCATTTTAGTTACCGAAAAGTTAATAGTTGTTAATATTGTTCTTGTTTCAGAAGTGTGAAAAAGGCCATCTCGTTCCTGACATGGCCAACCCTTTCAGGGGTGAGGTTTTCAAGCTTTACAAAACTGTAAGTGGATTAGTTAATGATACACAAGGTTCAGGTAGGTCCTGTGCTGGATATGGTTTTAATGTGTTTCTCATCCTCCAAAAGCTGCTGTATCTTGGCCGCGACTACCCCCAGGGCTCAGCTTATTTCAGAGAGCGCCTGAAGTCAGCTTTCATGAAGAATAAAGACGTGACAGACCCTGAAAAGATCAAAAAGCTAGTGGCACGTGGCGACTTTGTCATCAAGGAGCTGGAGGCTCTGTATTTCCTCAGGAAATATCGAGCCATAAAGAAGAGGTATTATGAACCAGACAAATAATGACACTCACAGACAGCACCCAGTTACCTTTCTGAAATGTAATACGGGCTGTGAGGAAGGAACAGTCAATGTGGCAATATTTAATTTATCATACTAATGAGATGCAGGTGTCCTTATATAAAAAATAAAGCTCGCCTCACAAGGGAAATGAAACATCGATCTCTAAGATGTGCCAGAAAGTTGCTGTTACACAATGTGCTTTATATTTTTATACACAAGGTGTACCTTTTGTAGGCCAGTATTTTAAATCACAAATACCATATACGTGTAATGTCATAGGTTTTCCTCCAGTTAGGCCCACTGGCATGTTGAGTGTTGTCAGAATCAATCAGTTATCAATCAGTGTTAATTAATTTAATGTCCATTTTGAAATGGATGTTTTGGAACATGACAAACTGCTGGTATCTGACTGACAGTCACATTGTACAATATATTGTGTATTTCATTGTATATATGTAAATTCATGGTCGGATTTCTTTAAGATTGAATGTACATGACTGCGTGTCAATGCACTGTTAGAAAAACATCTTTACAGTACATCATCTGTACAGTGATGTTGTCTGTCAATGCATATAATAAAATCACAGCATTGTTCTTCAACAATTTAACTCCTTTACTGTCATTGCTTGTATAGGTATATATTTGACAAAGAAAATAAATGAAATATAACAAATACACAACAAACTTTTGTGTGGACGCTTCCTTTTTTTTGTAACCAGCTGAGAGTTTCAGAAGACAGGAGTAGTGTTTGCAGATTTCATTGTCTCATAACCTGAAGGAGGGAATAGCCCAAAGCAGACATCAGCAGTTATGAACAATCTATAGCTTTGCATATTGTTTCGCTGCTGCAGAACACGATCTGTCTTTGAAGAACTTGCATAGGTAATAGCGTAATTAATTTCCTACATTTCCCATTACATAAAGATTTGTTTAGATCAGAGTTTTTCAATTGCATTTTTGGTAAACATGACTTGTGGGATTTCTTTATGTAGACAGATTTTGATTAGCTCAAACATGCTGATGAACAGTGTGACGGTATTTGTCAACAACAACAGCTCTAGAAAAAAATATGTGATGCTATTTGAATTTTTTAAAAGTTGAAATACATTTGAGTTTCCTCCTCAATTTTGGTGGCTCACTCCACATTAAAGAGAACGCAACCCTAAAAGAAATGTATCATGTTTCAAAAGAGGTTTTGTCTTTTCGTTTTTAAAACATAAATGTGCGAAGAGACACTTCAATCAAGAAGAAAACGAACAGAACAGAAAAAGATTGGTTCTTTTGTATCTGAACTTTAATATAAAGCTTCATGTCAACCTTACCTCAGCTGGGTTGGACAGCACTGTGACAGCTAACATGAAGCTAGCCGTCAGGGACATGGAGACAGGCAGTGCCGTCAGTCTTCTGCCCCCTGTTAGGAAGTCCCTGGAGTTTTCTTGGCCCCAGGTGGCCCAAGCAGAGTAGACCCAGATCCCAGTGGACACCACCAGCATGAGAGCCACACCACATAGTCTACTATCACAAGGGAGCCAGCTACCAGAGAGTCCACATACATTTTGTTGCAACTCAGACTGATATCAGAAGTAAAACTATTCAGAAAGTTTTTCAAACTCTTCAGTGTGCAGCTTAAATTTGAACTGCAGGAAAATAAACAAACATTTCTTCTGAGAGAAAAATGAAGAACAGTAAAAAGCCAAGACACTATTCCTCTCCTAAATGTTTTAGTCTGTATGTCTTTGTGTTCTTGTCTTAGCATTACAGACAGGAACATAAAGTGAATATGCAACAAACAGGCGGTGAATCATTGTGACCTCATTTAGTTATGTCCACTTCTTTGTAACTCAAAGAGCGCTGACAATTTTGAACTCAACTAAAAAGTTAAACTTGCTTTAATTCATTGTGTTGACTACTTTTGTCAGATATGTGTTTGTTAACTGAACTTGGGTATGGAAGTTATCAGTTGACAAAAAAATCAAGCAAGAGGAAAAGAAATTGTTGCTGCTTTACATTTGAGTTAGTATTCAAATTCCAACTAAAATATAGACACTTTTGTGGTAAACAAGAAAGGGCTAATGCCACAGGTGGAGGAGGTGGAGGAGGCACCTGACAACGGCCTTGTACATGTAAATTGAAACTAATTTGGAATTTAAACCCTTTAACTTGAAATGGACAGTAGTATGAATGTGTAGTTAAGTTGTTTTAACTTGCAACTGTGAGTAAAAATAATTCAGAAATGTATGTCGGTTGGACTAGTAAAGACAAGTTTTCTTGCATTGATAAAGTAAAATAATGAATACTGAAAATTATGAAGTTGAAACAAGCTATAAAAAGTTTTATCAATGAAAAAAACAACGCTGAGACAACTAGAACACTGTAGTTTCATCAACTTGAATGAACAAAGGCGATCTTCAAGTTGAGCAAACTTACATTTTCAAGTTACACTAACCTGAAATGTCTTACAGTGTAGGATTTTATTGATATTCCTTATCAGTCATCATTTAAAAAATTTCAGAACAGGATTATAATTGAATATTTAATAATAACTAAATGTGATTTCTAGAGCAGAAAACAGTATTTACAACAGCAACGTCACTATATAAACCCAGGATAATATCTCTCTGGAAACAAATCTAAAACATCAAAATAAATCACATTCCTGACTTTAAAATACTGTGTGAAGTTTAGAAAGAGTCCGTTTGTCTCAGTCAGCAGCTATGTTTACAAGGACTTGCGAAATTGTAAGACGTGTAGCAAACCATGCTAAACAGTTAGACTACAGGCAGCTTTCATTTTAGCTTGTTTGAAACAATTCTCCATTAGCTAGCACGCTGTGCTTGTGTAAAACCAAAACACAGCTGCAATGGATGAGAGACTGAGCAAATTAAACTATTGCTGTCTATATGTTCATGCTTATTAAACAGGTGTATTGATAAAGTATTGGCTTTTTACTTGTGAAGGCTTTATTCCACTTGCTAACAGTAATGAGTCAATCTGAGTAATCTCCAGATTTGCTCCGTGACTTCACTCCATGTTTATGTGTGCATGAGTGTGGGGCTGCAGCGTGATAATAAACTAAACAGATGTTTTAGTGTAGTGTAGATATGTGTATACTGGCCCACACGGAGGTTGTTTCTGGACCAGATGTGGCCCACGGGCGCCAACAAATTATAGATATGCACGCCATTTTTCTCCTTCATTTACATTTCTTGTATTACACCATAGACAAAAAACATGATTTAATACAGAAATTATACAACAAACAGTTAAATTTCATGTGGGGATGCTCCTTTTTGCTGAGTTCAGCTCAACGTCATAGAAAGTGGGATTAGTGTTGCCCAGTGTCTTCTCTCTGTCCCTTGTTAGGTCAAGCTTTCCTGTTCGTCCCATGACCTCAAAAGGGAAGAACACAAAGCAAAAAGTCAGCAGCTGTTTATTAGTCTACAGAATGTTGTTTCACTGCTGCAGCACTTACTCTCTCTTTAAAAAACCTGCATAGGTGATAAAAAGTTATGTCTTCTTTCATTAATGTAAGCCTCGATTCAACCTTCAGCTTCCGGCCTCCTGAAATGCACATTAAGAGCACAGAAGAGCACATCAACAACCTTTAAGCTCACTACAAACAGTGGGACAGCCTGCTGTCATTTTCATCACCAAAATACTTGATTCATAAAAATGGCATTTATGCAATAGAATATATGTTATTTACAGTACCTGTAAACAGACTGACTAATAGTCCCACACTGATAGTTATTATGGTTCCAATAGGACTGAAGTAAAGATAGGACAGAGAGTACCAGGTATCTGCCAGCAGAGGCCTGGAGGTGGGAGAAAATACTGCATGAGGAGAGAAATCTGGCACATACAGACGAAACAGTGACATCAACATTTAAAAATTTCCCATTATGAATGTTCTGTATAATTGGACTCCAGCAAAGATTTAAAATACTGTATTAAGTAAATAAAGCAAACAAAATCTTACTAACTCAATATCACAATGTTATTATGCAACCATTTTTCATCCTTATAGGCAGGGATTAGCACAACTGAGGATACTAAATATGGCAAATAATATCAAACCAATAATCAATCACAACCATTTACTTACTTGCCATCAATGTTGTGCACTGGGGCTGTGGTGATGGAGGTCAGCTGTGTTGGTAGAGCAGTGGAGGTCCAATTGAGGCTTTCTGTAGCGGTGAAGTTACATCCCTCAGTGGTCAGGGACAGAGGTCGGCTCATCTCAGGAGGGGGAGGGTATATCTGGGCTCCGATGCCCACCCACAGAGACACAACCAACCCTGATGCAAGACCTGTTAAAGCTCCCTAAAAGACATTTTGATCACTGAAAATGCTAAAACGACCTTTTTAAGAGGAGCAGACATAAATGGTACACAGTTGTAAAGGGGTGAGAGAAAGTGTGATGATGTATAATTTTTATTATTTCTAAGAAAAATTAAGATATTTCAGACCTGGTAACCGTTTTTTCGACATTTTAAAGGATAAATAACTGATTATCCCAGGAGTAAAATTAATTTTCAGTGCTGGATTAATGTCCTTTTTTAATATTAGCATGGGTTACAGGAATCACAATACCAACAACTGAAGTTAAATGAGGACAGGCTTACTTTGGAGTTGGCAAATGGACAGATGATACCCAACGTAAACAGGCCAAGTAAAGGGCCTCCAACGATCCCAAATATACTGATGACCGCCTGTATAAAGAAGCACACAACACTTAAGTTGCAGGGTTCATTCCTATAATAAGTCACGCACCCCAGGCAGAGTCCCCTCCTATAATATAACAATCATATACATCCATAAATATTTTTATGTCTTTGTTTAACCAGAGACCATAGAGCTTACGCACAACAATAACAGATCCACTTTACCTGCAAGATCCCTCCCATGAGTGAAGCCAGTCCAGCCATTCCAATACATAAAACCCCATACAAGACGCCTGCAAACAACATTTGGGAAGAAATGGAATCATTAATTACTGTACTACCTAATGGTACTAGTGTTCAACAGACAGCACATTCAGCTGAAATACTGTAAATGAGGACAAACCACTCACTCAGTCCTTTTGAGGTCCAGGACAGGTGTTTCTCAGACATGTTAGTGTACGGTTTGATCAGGTCCTCGACTGTCACTGCAGCCAGTGCATTGATGCTGGAAGACACTGTGCTGGGGTTGATTTGACACCGAAATCACACACAATTTAGTCACGGAACCATCACACAAATACCTTGCATATGTGGATGCAAAAGCTTTTTTCTGATCCCACTTTGTAGTACTGAACATGTGCTGATATGCCGATCAAAGAAATCATGAATGAAAAACATTAAACATGATAGGGATTAAATACACCTAATATAACTTATATTATAAAATATTTTACTATGAGTACAATCTGCTCAAAATAGCAGTAAACAATACAGTCAGCTTTTGAACTCTCAATGTGTGAGTTGGATCTGTTGGAATAAATGTTAAATACTGTATTAACCTTAGAGATCCACTATACGCAGCTGCAACAAACAATCCAGGAAGGCCAGGATAGTCTCCCAAGATGTCCATCACCAAATATGGCATCAACTACAGAGGAAGGGTGACACTGGATTAAACCCCAGCACAATCTTGGTTACTTTCTATCCTCAATGCGTATACCTATGTGTGGGGTTTTTGTCAAGATCACCATAACTCTCAGCCATGCAATGCATCTCTCCGTCGTACCTGATCAGGAGCAGAAACCAGTCCAGCTGTCCATGGGTCACAGTTCTTATAGACTGAGAAGAGGCACATTCCTGCAAACACTGAGCACAGCAAGATGGACAACAGGCCTAACAGGTTGATGTACAGAGATCTGGAAAAAGAGAGAAACACACATAGAGTAGCAAAAAAACGGACAATTTTTTCTTTTCGAAAATTGTAAATACACCAGCAAATATATACAAACGAAGAATCAAAGGAGCTAATATTGCCACCATTTATATCTTGTGTCTGAGTAAATGTCTCACTTGGTAAAACAGAACTCACAGTCTGGCATGAGTGATGCTCTTGCAGGAGATGTATCTCTGAACCTGGGCCTGGTTGATCCCATAGATACTGACCCAGACAAATGTCCCTCCAATGGTTATGGTCCAAAAAGTGTGTCTCCTCAGAGGGTTCGTGTCAAAGCTAGTGAAACAGACAAAAGAGGTCAGTTTGAATTTCAGTTGCCTGTAGGTTTCTCTATTATGTCATCTCTGGCCTTAACCTAGAACAACTAATCTATCTGATGTTTATTCTCCAATGCTACATCATGTTGGAATCTATTACTATCCATGAGTTGTTCTCTAATCTGTGGAGCCAGGGAACACCGATATCTGCTAGATCAACGCCTGAGCTACTGTCTCTACCTTATCAGTCTAACTGTTGTCTCTCTAACAAGCACAGTTACATGAGAGAAATAACTAGAGCTGGAAGGTCAGTGAACACTTGTGGGGTCAGTTAATGATAAATGTAATGTTATTCTCTTCCCACCGTTAAATAGAGCCATTGAACTCCAACACATACTCACTCCCAAAAGTTGAGTCTCCCTCCTTGTTGTGAATCTGAGATGATGGGGAGGACACCACCTTGTAAGACCACAGACCTGATGATGACAGACAGGAAGCCTGCAAGCATGACACCAAGCTGGAGGGGAAGGAGTTTGATAATTTTACTAACAAATATTCCCTGTTTTTGCCCCAGTTGTGCTTCTAATTTCACCAGTTTTTTGCACTTAAACTATTTTACATGGATAACATATCATGTGTAATGCATTATTCCAAAACATGAGCAAAATTGTTGGTGTTTGGCTGACATGTAATGACTTTTCCATTTTTGTATAAGTGGAGATCAGTTCCTTGCTGTGGTGGCCTAAAGCTGCGGTGTGTGACTCACTGGTGAACAGTATAGTCACTAGCAAACACAAAAAGGTATGACACATGCATCCCCGACTTGACACTCTCATAAATCTAATGGCTTATTACCAGTAGTACCATACCAACCACTTGTTATTGTTGTTGTTTTTTCCATGCCGAAGCCTACCTGAAACACATCTGTCCACACCACCGCCCTCAGACCACCCTGTCACAATGTAGACCACAAAGAGATGTTGTGTGCACTCCACATTCAAATCCAGGAATCAAAGGATGATATCAATGGTTTTAATTTTGTGATCAGCAGAACTCAGTTGAGCAGACAGTTGTAACGTACCATCGTGCAGTAAAAGGTGCAGACCACGCCCGTGGAAATAACTGCACCCCACAGATCCATACCAGTTACTGCAGAGGGAGGGAGGGTTTCAGGCACACTCAACTGAGCAAAACCAAACAGCTTCAAGTGCCCTCATTCAGGAATGTTTCATGAATCAGACCGCTGTGTACTGAAACCTACCTTGGTTTAAAGCAAGAGCTGGGGCGTAAATGACGATTCCAGTGTAGAGGATCTGTGACAGACAGAGAGAAATAACATAGACATAAATGACCCTCAGACGTCAGATTTGCTGTTTCACTCTTAGAGGTTGAAGCCCTGTCATTATGTGCTGACTGGCTTCTTACTCACTGTCTGAACAATGAAGAGCAAAGTTCCCAGCAGACGGGTTGCTCTGCTGAAACGCAGCTCCAGGTACTTGGTATAGATATGACAGGGACAGAAGAAAACAGATAAAAGAAAAGATCAGTGTCAGAAAGGTCATATCAGTCCATGATGAATGGACTTCCATCCTATTTCTCACAACAAAAAAACCCCACAATTTTTTCAATGCGATGCTTTAAAACAAAATTCAATGAAAATTGAAGTGAAAAACTGTTTACATGTTAAGGTGATTCATCATTACAGTTTTGCAGAAGCTATTAAAATATATGAAGGTAATGAATTTATTTCCTCACATTATCTCTAAAAATATATGAAAATACCTGAAAAATGTGCGGAGCAATGAAATAACATGAGTTGTATCATGTTCACGAGAATGACCCCTATTCATTCAATCTTCACATCTGACATTTCTTACCCTCTATCTACTCCTGCGCCACTTCTAAATCACCTTAACTTGCTGCAGAAATGTATATAGGAGGGCAACAGCTCTGATACATCCTTCCCAAACTGATGTCACCTTACTGTTACCAGACTCTATTTCTACATACTTTTGAAGCAGAGCCATACCAATCTGAGATCAGGCCAAGGCCCCTCTTACACAATTCTTTTTCTTTGCACAGTAACTGTTGATTTTACAGGTAAACAAAACATATGACATATTTCACGGCTTTGTCAATAGAACAGCACTGAATAACCACACAAACGCTGATATAAAAATCAAACCACACTCACATCATATGTGCTGGTGATGGCCAGCCTGTAAAAGACTGGGAGGAAGACCTCAGATACGACCACCATAGTCATAACATAGGAGAGACCATAAAATCCAATAATGGCTCCGTAGCGGTATACCTAGGGATGATATGAATGAGTAATGTTTTCTATTTTGATTTGCAATGTTTTCTGTAAATTTATTTAATTACAAGGAAATGTGTGCCATGAGTTCCCCTTATAATTGCATGATGTAATGAAAAACCCTGACTTACAGCTCATAAGTTTAGGTTTTAAGTTTATGTCCCATGCATGTCTCATTGTCTCTACCACTGTGTCTCTGATTTGATTGAAAAATCTGAAAAACTCCACTGACAAAGTGATGCATCTCATCCCACTAATAAGTTTCCTTGCATCCTGCAGACCGAAAAAGACACAACTGACTTTTCAGGAGACAAGTGTTTTTTGGATTTGTCCCTTGGGAATCTGCTATAACCTTACCTCGGCTGGGTTGGACAGCACTGTGATGGCGGACATGAAGCTGGCAGTCAGGGACATGGAGACAGGCAGGGCTGTCATTCTTCGACCCCCCATTAGGAAGTCCCCTGAGTTTCGCTGGCCCCTGTCCGCCCAGGCATAGTAGACTCCGACGGCAGCGGACAGCACAAGCATGAGAGCAAACACCAAATAGTCTGCTACCACAAAGGAGCCACCTACCAGAGAGTCCCCTGACATTTTGCTGCAAGTCGGACCAAAACTAGGAACTTTTTAGAAAGTTATTCAAAACTGTCACATTTGTTTTGACTGGAAAAGCAGAACCTGAATGAATAGAAGTCCTGATAAATGATTCTCTCATTCTGAGTGAGAGAGCAGGACCACAGACTGAAGCCTTTTATATGTGTGTGTGTGTGTGTGTGTGTGTGTGTGTGTGTGTGTGTGAAATAGAGAGAGAGAGCATTCCAGCAGGTAAGGAGAGTCAACTGTTCACCTGACCACAGGATAAAAGCTATCATCTGACTCTAGACCTCTAGACACACACACACAGGCCTACACAAAATACTATACTCCGTAAATACTGACTTTATAAATACTTTTACAAAAGGAACAATTCCTTTGTACAATGAATAATAGCGACAATTCCATGTGTTTTGTCCTGAAGTTTGCATATTATTCAAAAGAAGAACTTTGCAACAGTAACCTATATGATAAAACATGTTGTAGATCTAATTAATTGTTGCAACTTGTTCAGGCATGGCCTACAAGCACTCCCATGACTCACGAAAAAGACTGATTCAAGAAAATATGAATAAAATTAAATAATCGTTTAAATAAATAACTGATAAAAACAGCAGAAACAAGGAAGGTTCTCACATCCCTGCATACATTTCTACTACCTGACCACATTTTTGTTTACTGCCTCTACTCTAAGTGTTATTCACTGCTTCTGAAATGTGTGTAGTAGGTACTGATAAGAAACAGACCTCTGATTTTTAAACAGTTTTGCTATGCAGGGGAGGGAGAGAGGGGAGGCAGCACTCAATCTGACATTGACATTTTGACTTGTCATAGAAGGAAAAGCACAAGTGTTATTAATAACATTAAAGATTTTTTTTTATTCAAGTGTCCAAAAAAAGCCAGGACCACAGTGTGGCAGCAAACCAATATGCAGCACAATTCCCCACGAAACTAGGACAGCTAAACCAACAACAGCTACAGTTAGCAACAGTTAGTGCTTACTCTAGTACTGTGCTGCCCCCTATTTGTTTGGAGTATGAAGTCGACAGGTGGCCAAAATCGAGTTATACCTTTTCCAACTGTGACATGTCAAAATATCTTCTGTGAAAAAAATGTCTATAACTGTAGTCCTTTTCACAGTTCCAAAAAACAAATATATGACACTGAAGATCTGAAGCTAGCTTTAAATTGAGCATTGCAGCTGGTGGTCATAATAACTAATAGTGTCTTTATTACTGAACATATATATTATTATATAAATATACAATGCATTTTACCTTATCTAAATATTGTTTGGTTTTCTCGCTTAGCTCCATGCTCTTACATGGTCCGTGGTTATCAAATTTTGCCTAACAAAAATAAACGAAGTTGAGGCGCGAAGCCTCAAACGAAGGCGGAAGTGAAGGCACGATTTCTCTCTGTCGCTTCTTCGCTTCTCTTCGCCCACCACGCGGACTAAAAAATTCCCACAATGCTTTGCTCAGCATGGCTGCGCCCTGGTGTCGGCGTGTGTGTAAACAGTTGTAGTCGAGAGAAGAAATAAATCGGAGTTTTCATGAATCATTTAAATCGCACGACGACCTTTGGAATACAGTTACTCTCATATCAAGCAACAAGGCGAGGATGAAGATTAAATCCAAGTCTTCGTACCACAAATCTGAGAACACCTACAGGGTGAGAGTCCAGAAACGTAACTTAACGCAGCATGATGCTAGAAAAGACACATGGTGGAGATAAAAACACAACTGTATTAGCGTAGTAACAATGGTTAAACAGATATTTTAGATGCGGGTTATGTCCAAGCAAGTAGAGGGATGCAGAGTTAATTTCACTCAGATAGCACAGTCTAACACGTCATGGGAAAGATGGCATTTAAACTAGACCCTAAAGAGTCCCATTATTACAAGACCATTGTTAGATTCGTGGTTTCCCAGCCCCAGCAGGTTAAACCCTTATGATGTGTCTCTTTCAGTTTCTCACTTTTGCTGAAAGACTTGCCAATGTCAACATCAATGTCATCCATCGTATTGACAGGACTGGATCTTACGCAGAGGTTTGTACAGAATAGTCTTGGCAACATAATTGTTCACCTCGTTTATACAATAGGCTTCTGAGTGTCTCATGGTTTGAATCTGATTGGTAATGCCTTTTTTTTTGCTCCCTCTACAGGAAGTAGAAACATACTTCTCTGAAGGACTGACAAAATGGAAAGACCTCAACTTGACAGAGCATTTCAGTATGTGTATAATAAAATACCACATCATTTTGCTGTATTATCGCCTTGTAGTAAGTGATCTTAGCAGCAAAAATAGCTTATCTTATCTACTACTAAACCTCAGGAGAGATTCCAAGTGTTGTTAAAATGAATGCCTCTCCTCCACAGCTACATTTTTGAAAGAGGTTTCCAACAAGAGCCAGTCATTCAACATGCTGGTTTTCCATCAGAATTCCATAGTGGAGAGTCTGAAGACACACCTGACTGTCAAGGACAGTCTGGCCTACCAGCCACTGCTGGAGTAAGTTGTTGTTTTGTGTGTTTAAAAAATGCTTGAATCAATAGATGATGAACTAGCTGACATGTGTCTCTCCTCTCTTCTCCCTCTTCCGCCAGCCTGGTGGTGCAGCTGGCCAGAGACCTGCAGACTGATTTCTACCCCCACTTCCCGGACTTCTTTATTCTGATCACCTCGCTGCTGGACACTAAGGATACAGAGGTCCTGGAGTGGGCTTTCACCTGCCTCTCCTACCTCTACAAGTACCTGTGGAGGCTCATGGTGAAGGACATGACCAACATCTACAGGTGAGAAATAGGATGGAGTCTCTGTGGATGCTTTTCAGGTCAATCTGTTTTCCAACATGGTGAATGATATTCTTTCCTTAATGTAGCACTTGCATATTATTGAGATGAAGAGTGCACATCGCATGTGGGTGGAAATCAATACCTCTTTTCACCCCACAGTTTATACAGCACACTGTTGGCACACAAGAAAGAGCACATCCGCAAGTTTGCAGCAGAGAGCTTCTCTTTTTTGATGAGAAAGGTGAGTAATTTGCAATGCAGGCAGATGTCAAACATTAGCTTTTACCTTCGTTTCTTATGCCTTACAGTTTAATCAGCGTTATAGCACATTTAGTAGTTACACTGTAAATTTTTGTGTTTCAGTGTTTTCAGTGATAAAACGATGTCTCATTGTGTCACACAGGTTCCAGATCTTGATGCCCTGCTGAGTCATGTGTTCTCAGATCTGCAGCAGCACCCCGACAAGGCGGAGGGAACGGGTCAGCTGCTGTTCGAAATGTGCAAAGGAGTCCGAAACATGTTTCACTCCTGCGCTGCAAATGTAGTTTCTTTTCAAACGTAGGGTGCTCCGCAGAATCACCCGACAGTTTTCATTTAACACAAAGAGAAGTGTTGGTAGATATGGATTATTTTCTGTAGCGTGAAAGCAACAGCGACAGAATACTGAGCACAAACTCGCAATAACCATCGAGAGCGAGCTGACCGTCGCCAACTGCATGTCTCTTCTTAGCCATGAGGTCTTCCTTTATTCTTTTTTTTGTTTGTGTGCGTGCTCATGATTAAAAATCAGTTAAATCATCTAGTGGGCTTCAGGCGTAACCGAGGCCTTGCCCGTATGATTTCATGTGATTCAGCAGTCTGTTACTGAGAAAATGTTAAACCTTGTAATTATAGACACCAGTAGTCTTGAATTTTCTGCTCCTCTTCACCCATCTCTCCAGGCTCTCCCCGTAGCTTTGCGTAAGCTCGGACCCTCAACCAGCCCGGGAGTCTCTCTGCCATGGGACACTGTCAGGGACGCTCTGGATCACATGGCCCAGGCTGCAGCCACTCACGTTGACACAGAACACTTCCTGGTTTTGTGGGAGTCCTTACAGGTGAGCTAGATGCACGCAGCAAGATGTCCGACCTGTGCTTTACTTTGACTCAGAACATTCAAAAAAAAAAACCTTCCCAGAAAGTTAAATCTAACAGGCATGGTAGATCATGACAGTCAGTCCTTTTTACTTCCTTTGCCTTGTGTCTGATGGGGCTGTGTCCCCACGTACAGGTCAGCGTGGAGGAGGTCCTGGGTGTCATGGAGGCGAAAGGAGAAGAGGCGAGCCAGGCAACAGAGCAGCTGGAGAGGCTCCTGTTCATTCTCCACACCCTGGTGTCCCACAGGATGGAGCCAAGATCACCAAGCCAGAGGCTGTCTGCCAGGTAAGAGCAGAACGCTGATCTGTGAGATTTAGTTATGTAGGAAAGCCTCATTTCCCCGTTAAATGGTATGTCTTTTTTCCGTTTTCATCCTCTTTTCGTTTTTCTCGTGTCTGCAGACGGTGTTGCGGCTGATTCAGAGCTCGTCTTTGTCAGCTACGTGTTCCCGTCTGCTCCTTCAGATCACCTCCTCTCTGCTCCTCGGGGAGAACATCACCCTGCCCAAAGCACTCATCCAGGAGACGGTCCAAAAGGTGTGTGTTTGTGTTAAACAAGAAAGTTTAGTTAGAATCGGATTTGTTTGATGCGACCAAAAACACACGTGCCCCTCTTCTGACTCTCCGTTTTCTTCGCAAGGTGTTTGGCAGCGCAATGGGGCATGATCTGATACTCGAGTTCACCAAGGAGATGTTCACCATGGAACAGTTTGAACAGGTGAGTCACGACTTGAGGGATGCACCCAGTATTTTCCTCAGTTTCTGGTTCGGTCTCTTTTCTCTCCACGACACCCTGACACTAACCCTTCTCTCCCTCCCTCTCCTCCAGCTCTTCCTCCCCACCTGCTGCGCTTCACCTCTGGGTTGTTCGGCCGCGGCGATCCCCTGTCTCGCCACTGTGGCCTGGATGTGCTGGTCAGTCTGATCCTCGCCAAAGCCCCGCCCCCAACAGACGGCTCCATGGCCTTTGAAACCTACCCACTGCTCTTCACTGGACAAACCACGGGGTGAGATACTACAGTATTTATTTTCACCAATTTGTTATCTGATGCCTGAAGTTCACCTGGACCCTCTGCTGTGTTTTGTTATTTTCCAGGAGTTAAATGTGTTTTTCTCCTCCAGCAGAGTCTTTAGCAGTAATGAGGCCGGCAGCACAACATCGGAGCAGCCTGCAGTCCCAGAGCTGGTGCTGTCGCTGATC